ACCTTGAGGAAAAACCGAAAAGAGAAAGTCCAAAGAGGACAATATCTGCTAGTGGTGGGCTTGGACTGTTACAAATGGTATCAGAGCCAGGTACTGGGTGGTGTGCTAGCGAGGACATGGCCCCCAATGGCCCCCAAAGGAGGTGGAGGTACGAACAGTCAACAGTTAAAACTTCACTAACTTAATCACCCAATTGCCTACACTCTACGACTCTACAGAGAAAATGAAGACCCATGTGAAAAATTCCACATCTAAGACCATGTATATCTTCCATACAATACAATAAATAACTCCAACTATTCCACCAGAATGCTACAATGCAAATGTAAAGGCTTCAATCCAGTAACCATAAACAAAACATATTAAGAATAATTAGTTCACCAACCAATGCCACGAGATTTGTGTAATAGTCTAAATCCACCGCTAGTAGACATTGTCCTCTTTGGGCTTTCCCTTTTGGGCTTTCTCTCAAGGTTTTTAAAATGGCTAAAGAGAGGTTTCCACACCCTTATAAAGAATGCTTCGTTCGTTCTCCTCCCCAACCGATGTGGGATCTCACAATCCACTCCTCTTTGGGGCCTAGCGTTGGCACTTGTTCCATTCCCTAATTGATGTGGAACCCCCAATCCACCCTCTTCAGAGCACAACGTCCTTACTGGCACACTGCCTTGTGTCCAACCCCCTTCGGGGCTCAGCCTCCTCGCTGGCACATCACCCGGTGTCTGGCTCAACCCACCGCTAGCAGATATTGTCCTCTTTGGGCTTTCCCTTTCGGGCTTCCCCTCAAGGTTTTTAAAACGTGTTTGCTAGAGAGAGGTTTCTACACCCTTATAAAAAATGTTTTGTTCTCCTCCCCAACCGATGTGGGATCTCACAATCCACCCCTTTCGGGGCCCAGCGTCCTTGTTGGTACTCATTTCATTCTCCAATTGATGTGGGACCTTCCAATCTACCCCCTTCGAGGCCGAGCGTCCTTACTGGCACACTGCCTCGTGTCCACCCCCTTCAAGGCTCAGTCTCCTCATTGGCACATCGCCCGGTGTCAGGCTCTAATACCATTTGTAACAGCCTAAGCCCACCGCTAGCACATATTGTCCTCTTTGGGCCTTCTCTTTTGGAATTCCCCTCCAGGTTTTTACGACGCGTCTGTTAGGAAGAGATTTCCACACCTTTATAAAGAATGTTTCATTCTCCTCCCCAACCGAAATGGGATCTCACATTTTGTTTAATGCGAAGGGCTAGATTCTGTAACAAATCCCAGGTGCAAAGCAAGAAGATAGAGTATTAACGATGGAAAGTTCAGCATATTAAGCCCAAAATCATGTTTCACAAGGACACATATCCTTGATTTGTGAATGAACATTCCAAAATCCAGATCAATAGTTACGGAAGTCTTATGCAATATCACTAACATCCTCAACTTCCAGATTTTTTCAACAAAAAGATATCGAACAACTTTCATCATCGAAACAAGACATTGAAACATCCATCACATACTAATCAAATAGCGACTTCAATTCAAATCCTACAGAATCAAGTCGAAAATAAAGGCGTTGAACGAGACAATGCGCAGAAGCATTCAAAAGCATTAAGATCAAGAAAATACGAAGAACATAAGAAAGAAGGGGCAAATACCGGTGAAGAAATCGACGAATCCGAGGGTGGTTGGGGGAAACAAGGCGCCGCTGAGTCTTCAAAACGAGCTTAAATGTTCGCTTGAGCCCCAAGAAATAGGCTGTTGCCAGTGCAATCTCCCATAACACCATTTTCCCTCGCTCTGTTTATCTTTTTTTTCTTCTTTGGTTTTATTGAAATTCCGGTTTGGGCCTGGGCCTGAGCCTGTCCAAATGGGCTTTAAAATAAAAGCCCAATATAAATAATTAAAATAATTAATTATATGGAGGAATTTTTTTTTATTTTGATTTTTATTTTATATAACGTCTCGGAATCAAAACTATCGACTTTAAAATAATAATTATTTTATTCAATAAGTGAAAGTTTAGATATTTGAATATCCGACATAGAAAAAAAAATATATTAATTATCGTTGAGCTATGCTCATTTCAGTGACTTTAAAATGATAATTGATGTCTTATTCATTCAGCTACGTTGTTTCCTTAAAATAATAATTAATGTCTTATTTATTAATTTATATTCTCGGTTAAATTTTTGTGTACAATCATTGTTATAAAAGATTTCTAGCACGTTGTTCTAAGATAAACATTTTTTTATTGAAAATAAATATAAAAAATAACTAAGGCATTTTAGATCGGGTGACCACTATCATGAAAAGCATAAACTTAGCTCTTGAACGTAATTTTCGTATTAGTTTTTATTCCAAATATTATTAAAAATTTAAAGGTCTCTTTTGAATAAAAAATTTAAAGATATTATTAAAATTATTAAAAATTTAAAAATAATTTAAAAATAAAATATGGAATTAATCTCACGTTAAAATCAAACATCACGAGAGCCAAATGGAAAAAATATGGAAAACAAGACAAAATGTTATCACGGTAGTAATTGCCTTTTAGTGAGCAAACATCGCCTTTCTCTCTCTACCTCTCTCTCTCTCTACAATGCAAAGGCAATCTCTAGGCTCCCCAGTTTCCAAGCTCCACGGCCATGGCGCCGGAGCCAAATCCGATCAACTTCCGACCGGCGATCAAAAGCGCAAGAAGCACTCTCCATCTTCTTCCTCAATTGTCATCTACGACGGACAGGACGACGAGAAAGTCTCTAAATCTTTCCGATTCTCATTTCCATCGCCTTCTCCTCCGCGGCAGGAGAACCTCGTTCACGCCATCCCTATCCTTACCGTTATCTGCTTCCTCATCCTTTACATCTGCTCGCACACTCCTTCGCAGTCAGGTACCTTCAATCGCTCCTTATTTCGCTTTAGTTTCAATCTAATCGATCGTCTAGGTTAATATTCTGTTTCGATTTTTTCAGATTTGGCTCAGTTTCATGGATTCAAACGTCCTTCTGAACAATTAGGTATAATGTTGTAGAGGATTTTGCTAATTGAGGCATTCTCTGTGTAATTTCTGTAATTGAACCTTTGGATTTGGTGTTTTACTAGCAGAAATCAAAGCCGATGGAGACGAACTTATTGTGCCGAAGCAAGGCAACATAATGGCGATTCAGAGTTTCCGTAACCTAAAAGAGATCGAAAAATCATCCTCTCTTAAATCTCGCTCTCCGAGGAAACTCGCGGATTTCTAAACTCCGCATTTCCGATCATCTGAACTTACGGTAAAATCTCACTGACCTCGTTTTCGCCGTACGGCTTCACTCGCCGCCGCGTGTGCTTCTGTACATCAAATACTCCGCCGGATCAAATCGTTTTTATTCCATTTCCTTTTAGTTTTCCAAGTTTTTTTGTTCGCCTCTGCGCTGGCGGCGCTTCTGTAACTTCCGATTAGATACTATAATCTTACTCTAAACAAAGAATGAGTAAATAAATAGTTGATCAGAAAACAGAACCAGTTACCGAAGCACCGATAGTTCACGTGAACTTCCGACGCCGGCGCGGCGGATACGAAAGTGGAATCCAGCTGGAGTATATTTCCTGCTATTTTCGATTTTCCGAATCGGACCGTTACAGAATTGGGAGAAGGGCCAATACGCCAGTTGGAAAATACTGCCGTAGCTGCAGGAGTCAGGTTCTTTCTTGCTATCAAATTTACTTTTAGGCCCTCTATCTATTGCCTATTTATTTTTAGGCCCTCTATCTATTGCCTATTTATCTTTAGACCCTCCGTCTATTGCCTATTTATCTTTAGGCCCTCTGACTATTGCTTATTTATTTTTGTGCCATCTGCTGTGCCGTTTAATTTAATCTCATACCTCACCAATTTTTCTTGATTGCTACCCTTTCAAAAATTGAAATTTTCGAAATTTTGGGAGATCGGGACGTCTTGCCCTGTTTTATTATTCATTTCTCCGAAATTTTCTATTTATTTTTGTTATGATTGAGTTTCGATCTCATATTTCAAAAGTTTTGGGTATAATTAAAATCGATCTCATATTTTATATTTCTTTTGATGATATAATTTGACTATAAGAGCCAAATTTGAGTTTAGTATATATCACTTAAAAAAAATTACTAGAAGAAATTATTGAATTAAATCACCACAAAAGTACTTCAAATTTATATCTAATAATTATTAGTGCGCATATAAAATTTGTATCTATATGTTGAAGATCTCACATCTCTCCGATGAAGAGAGTTCTTTGATTTTATGAGATATACCACAAAAGTACTTCAAATTTGTAGTTTTGAGATCAAATATTAAATTTTGTATCCTGACGTAGTCAATGCCTTGTTTTAGTTGACTTGTGATAGTAAACCTAAAAGCATATCAAAATAATGATTAGGTATAAAATTTGAACCATTCAACAATTAGAAAAAAAGCCAAATTCATGGAAGAAAGAATGGTTAATACACGCAAGGAAGCCAAGATCATAATTGGGTCCTCCCATTTGTGTTTGGCAAGTTTTGTTTTCTTTCTTTTTTTACCCTTTTGAAAATTTAAGAACCGACCTAATATTTTTCCTTAAGAAATCTCACTTTTTTTGTGTCGACATTTTTCTCTCTAAATCAAGAGATGACATAATTGTTTTAATTTGATTTTTTATGAGTCTAGTTTTTGAGTTTTTAAGATTATTATTACCACTTATTTTGAGACTAAGGGGTATAATCGAAATTGGATAAGTTCAAAGGCACTCAAAGGATTATAGGGTTAATTTGATTTAACGTTCAAAATCTCGATTCAAGCGCCACAGATCGGACTCTTCATATAAATACATCACCTATTCGAATGGAAAATCGGAGGAGGAGGTTTGTACCTGAATTTGTGTTCAAACCTCGATTTTATGTGCAGTCGACCAAGATATCAACCTTTTTTGTCGAACATATATATTTTTTTTATCTCTAAACTTTCAAAATATTTGTTTTCGATGTATAAACGTTTTAAAAATAAGTAGAAAAACGAGGAAGATAAAAAAATTATCCAAACATGTGAAGCAAGGTTTGATTTGGACAAGCATTTGCAAACCCTTAAACAGCTAAAGAAAAATTAAAAATAGAATAGAAGGATTTGTTGATTGGATTGTGGGAATGAGGCTGAAGAACTCTACTGAAGAACTGTACTGAGATTATGATCAAGCTGGCCCATCATCTTGTTTTCTCTTCTGTCTTTTTGAGGAAATGAGCACCTGATATGGAATTGCATGGCAATTAGCACCTTGAAACCGCAAAAGTAGAGTAGTCAAGCGTATATGGCAATAGTTGCATAAACAACATTGAACTCAATTGCTGCATTCAACAACTGAAATCAATAACTGAAAAATAAACATCCATCACTAGAGCTCTTACACACAACATCGAGGAAAGATCTTAAATCATTCGTTTATTTGTTCATTTAATCCTAATCCAAAAGCACTTGTGTAATAGCTCAAGCTCACCGCTAGCAAATATTGTTCTCTTTGGGCTTTCCCTCCTTAAGATTTTTAAAACACGTCCACTGGCACACTGCCTCGTGCACACCCTCCTTCGGGGCTCAACCTCCTCGTTGGTACATCGTTCGGTGTCTGGGTCTGATACTATTTGTAACAGCCCAAGCTCACCGCTAGTAGATATTGTCCTCTTTGGGCTTCCCTTTTCAGGTTTTCCCTCGAGGTTTTTAAAACGAGTCCACTAAGGAGAGATTTCCACACCCTTATAAAGAATGCTTCGTTCTTCTCTCCAACCAATATGAGATCTTACAATCCATCCCCCTTCTAGACCTAGCATTCTCGCTGGCACTCGTTCCCTTCTCCAATCGATGTGGAACCCCCCAATCCACCACCCTTCGGGGCTCAGCGTCCTTGCTAGCACACCGTCTCATGTCCACCCCCTGTCTGGCTCTAATACTATTTGTAACAGTCCACGCCCACCGCTAGCAGATATTGTCCTCTTTGGGCTTTCCTTTCAAACTTCTCCTGAAGGTTTTTAAAACGCGTCCATTAGGGAGAGGTTTCCACACCTTTTATAAAGAATGCTTCGTTCTCCTCGACCAACGTGGGATCTTACATCATATGCATTTTCTTCTTTGCATATGTAATTCAAAGGACAGACTATGCTCACACATGTCAAGATGCATACAAGGGTTATACTGTTACATCGGTATGCATCACATACATCGGTGAACAAGCAAGGGGGAGGAAGGTTAAATAAGAGTGCAGAATGCAGAATGAGGAAGTCAGATCTAGTTGAATAGTTGACCTTGTCGTGACATAAGGTTGATACGAGAGCGAGGACCTTCAAACATCCAGTTATCATCATCCAGAGATTTGACCTCCTTGTTCAGTGCAGCCATTATATTAGATTTAAGAGCTGCAACGCACAGATAATTCAAACCTTACTCACTACAAGAGGAAGTGCTTCATTCATTAACCAAAATGCATAGCAAAAAGACATTATAATGTTCAATTAAAACTCTTATCCACTACCCCTCTTAATCAACAAACGCCCAAATATAACACAAGTGGGAAACATCAAAACATTTCAACAGAAGATCTATATTATATTTTACCTGGAAATGCTTCACAAATTGAGAAAGAATAAGAATGGATCATCTCCCTCTTAAGTCTTTATGTAAATTCAAGCTACTTCATACTAAATGAAGGTGAAATTTATTAAAGAAAAACCTCCATTAGGGCACATAAAATCATTTTCTTTTGTCGGGAAGAGACCATTGTTAGGAATAATGACTCTTCACAGTGGTATGATATTATCCACTTTGAGCATAAGCTCTCGAGGGTTTGTTTTGGGCTTCTCCAAAAGGCCTCGTATCAATGGAGATAGTATTCCTTACTTATAAACCCATGATCAACCCCTTAATTAGCCGACGTGGGACTCCTCTCCCATGAATCCTCAACAACCATCTGGTTACTCACTCCATTAAAGGCTAGTTAGATTTTGATTTTCAATGATGTTTTAAACGACCAAGTACCAACTAAAAAATTCACTCCCTTCTCTGAAGTTCTAGTTAGAAGCCGCATCATTCATGACAGAGTAAGCCAGAGGCTAAGAACGAAATTGGATCCTCTTGTTAGACGAACACGATTGTCCACAATGGTATGATATTGTCCACTTTGAGCATAAGCTCTCATGGCGTTGCTCTGGGTTTCCCCAAAAGGTCTCATACCAATGGAGAGAGTATTTCTTGATTATAAACCCATGATCATTCCCTAAATTAGTCGATGTGGAACTTTCATCATCCAACACCTCCCCTCGAACAAAGTGCTCTTATGGAGTCTTAGTCATTTTTTACTGCCTTTGAGGAGGCTTGACTCCTTTTCTTTTGGAGTGCTTTGTTCGATATTTGAGGATTTATCAATCTATTGGCACGACTAAGTTTAGGGCATGGCTCTGAGACCATGTTAGACGAACACGACTGTCCACAATTGTGTGATATTGTCTACTTTGAGCATAAGCTCTCATGTCTTTACTTTGGGCTTCCCCAAAATGCCTCATACCAATGGAGATAGTATTCCTCGATTATAAACCAATGATCATTCCCTAAATTAGCCGATGTGGGACTTTCATCATCCAACACCTTTTACCATGTCGTAAACTCAAAAGAGTATTTTCAAATTTTCTAGCCTTGTTCCTATTTCCCCATCCAACTTTTTAGTTAGTATGTATATATATGTCCACCGACGACTACATGTTTCTCGTCGTATATTGGTGGAAGAACATAGCATTTTCGTCAGTTAATCAGTTCCCCAGCAATCAAATGAAGGCCTAAAGAAATCTAAATGGCACAAAACAACACGAACTGATTTACAAGAACAAAAGTAGAAACATCAATAACATTGACACACGATCTTGAAAGAAATTTTATACCTAAGGAAGCAGGAAAATCAGAATCAGATTCCCAAGTTTAAGAACATCGCTGGAACAACGAAGAGCTAAGAAGGAGGATCAAAAGGAAACTAACCGCTCATGGCCTCGTCCTTGCGCTCTTGTAGGGAAACTAAATTGGCGGGGAAGCGAAAATCGTCAAGAGACATTGCGGCATTAGTGGTACATCTTCCGGCAACCGGTGTGGTAGAAATGGAAGAATTAGCCGGCGACGAGGTATTCATTGCGATCCCAAATTTCGAATGAAGTAAGCCCTAGAACTGTACAGGAATCAGAAGTCAGATCAACGTTTAGCAACAAGGAAAACAGCAAATGCAACGAAGGGGTCTGAGAGGAAAATTGAGCAATGGAGATTGGAGAAGATAAGGGTTTTGAATTTCTGCTGTCAATTTGAAGCGCTTCGAGGATTTATATACATGACCATTTATTTTTTAAACATGAGATACAAATAGACGAGAGTAGACCGGTTGGGGTCTGGGTTGTAAATTTTTATAGTAATTTTAAAAATTTTACCATTAGTAACTCCCACTCTTACCGGAGTAACGTTCTTCCACGTCTTCCGTTCTATGTCTGACTCTGATACCATTTATAACAGCCCAAGCCTACTGCTTACAGATATTATCTTTATCGGTCCACGTCTTCCGTTCTATGTCTGACTCTGATACCATTTATAACAGCCCAAGCCTACTGCTTACAGATATTATCTTTATCTGCCGTTTAGCCCAAGCCTATTGCTAACAGGTATTATCCTTATCAATTGCCCGTTTAGCCCAAGCCCATTGCTAACAGGTATTATCCTTATCAATTGCTAACCGATGCCCAAGCCCATTACTAACAGGTATTATCCTTATCAATTACTAACAGATATTATCCTTATCCGTTGTTCCGTTTAGTCCAAGCCTATTGCCAATCTCATAATTTTAAAGTGCATTTACTTCGGAGAGATTTTCTACTTTTAGGTTAAATTTTAAAATTTAGAAATTAAGCTACAATATTAATTTATATAAGTTTCGTAAAAATGATTCATTTATTAATTTTAATAAAATAAAAAATTGAAAAATCTTCATGGTTCCAATAACATTACGTTTTAAACTAATTTTAATTTGATGATTCACAAATTAAAATTTTAATAATTTTTTCAAAAACTTTTTTTTTTTAAGATTTTTCTTTTTCCCAAACTCACAATTTCTTACCAACCTTAGTTTTTTTTTTTTTAAGAATTGAAAAAAAAAAATTAGCATATAACTACTCAAAATAATGATGATAACGACATAACATTTTAATATTTAATTACCATCCAAATATTTATTTGAATACATTTATTGTGATATCTTACATGGAGAGGGGAACGAAACATTCTTTATTAGGACATGAAAACCTCTCCCTAGCAAACACGTTTTAAAATCGTTAGGCTAACAATGATAAGTAACAAGCCAAAGCAGACTATCTCTGCTAGTGGTGGACTTGAGCTGTTACTAATGGTATTAGAGTTAGGCAGACTATCTCTGCTAGTGGTGGACTTGAGCTGTTACTAATGGTATCAGAGTTAGGCACCGAGCGGTGTGTCGGCGAGAACGTTAAGTCCCAAATAGGGGTGGATTGTGAGATCCCACACATCGATTGGAGAGGGGACGAGTGCCAGTGAGGATGTTGGGCACTGAAGGGGATGGATTGTGAGATCCCACATCGGTTGGAAACGAAGCATTCTTTATAAGGGTGTGGAAACCTCTCCTTAACATACGCATTTTAAAACCGTGAGGCTGACGGCGATACCTAATAGACTGAAGCGGACAATATTTGCTAGTGATAGGCTTAGACGATCACGTCGGGTGAAGAAGGAGAGAATTCACACAAATTAACTAAACACGTGAACCACAACATGGGTATTATTAGAACAGGCCTGTAATTCTAATACCTTTACATGGGTAAACCTTAAAAAATTACTGCTATCTGTTTCAACAAAAAAAGAAGTGCTGAATAAAACATTATCCTATGATCAACTAAACTAAATGAGTCAGAAAAATGAAGTGAAATCGGGGAAGAAAAAGGGGTAAGAAAAAGTGGGAGAAGAAGATAAAAGCTTTACGAGATTGTAAATGGCTCTTCCCTTTAATTTTGATGAGTAATAAGCCTTAGCTTTTGAAAGTGTAGCAGTAAAACTAACCAGCTGTGTGTTGTTTGCATCCCTTGGGTCCATAATGCTGGGAGCTGCGCTTCACAACTTTCTTGCATAGATAGCAGTAGTGGTTTTGACACGCCCAGCAACGTATGTGATTGTTATTGCCAACCTGTTCATTCATTAAAAGAATGAAAACAAAATAAAGTCGAATCACAAACACAGTATTTATTTCACTCATCAGCATGTTAAGATCTAGATCAAGCAAATTATTAGCGATAAGAAACAAGAGGTATGTAGTAAAGAGATCGAGACCCGGGTTTCGGTAATGCTAGAGGAAAAGACCAATAGCTTGATTCAAAACTTGATTTGAAGCATGCCAAAGCTATTTATAGAGTTCAATCAATCGCTATGGGGAAAGGAAAAGGAAAACTAGGTTGAAGAGTACCATTTGTAAGATGTTCGAACAATTGCGAGCACGATAGCTGGAAATGCTTAATTGGTGGATAAAGAACAAGAGCATGATGGCGTCGGACAGAGAAATCCATTTTTTTTTTCCCAAAATAACACTCTGAATGATAGGGTTGTCTTGCCTATCAGAAAAGAAACTCTGAATCCTAATAGGGAATCTACGTTGAATACTTCAACGTTAAGGAAAGAGATATCAACTCTCAATAATATCTCAAATGGTAAATATTTGATGCTTGGAGTGGAAACAAAACATTTATAAGGGTTTGGAAACCTCTGCCGACACTGAGGGGAAGCCCAAAGAGGACAATATCGGCTAGCGATGGGCTTGGACAGTTACAAATGGTATCAGAGCTGGACACGAGCGATGTGTCAGCGAAGAGGTTGAACCCCAAAAGGGGGTGGACATGAGGCGATGTGCCAGCAAGGACGCTGGCCCCAAAGGGAGTGGATTGTGAGATCCCACATCAATTAGAGAAGGAAATGAGTGCTAGTGAGGACGCTGGCCCCAAAGGGGGTAGATTGTGAGATCCCACATCGGATGGAGAGGGGAACAAAACGTTCTTTATAAGGGTGTAGAAACCTCTAGCAGACGCATTTTAAAAACCTTGAAGGAAAGCTCGAAGGGAAAGCCCAAACAGGACAATATCTGCTAGCGGTGGGCTTGAGCAGTTACAGATGCTATACTAAAAAGGAATCTTGGATGGACTACATTGAGTGATAATACTACCAAAATTTTTACATTACGACCCGTTTCCCCCTTCGAATGCATTCATTTCTTTGTATAGTTCAGCTGATTGACACACAGACTGCCTAAAGAAACACCATATCCATTAGTAAATGTGTCCTACTCACTACTCACCTTGGCATTAATTTGACCACAATTAGGACATGGATGACCATTTTCAGGAAAAAGTTCTGCATGAATCTGGCCCAACAGCTGCCGTGCATTCATGCGCTCTTCCCACTGTTGAATGGTTTCTTGCGGGAACAATTCACATGTGCCCTCCCTTCATGAAAGATTAGCGTGTTAGATTCATCTATCTAAGAGAAGTGCACAATTTATGCGAATTGTCGGTACTAAACTAATGCTCGTTCGCACGAACAAACCTGAAATGGTCATATCCATCAATTGCCTTGCTGCAGCGGTAACAGAAATACTGTCCACAGTTATTGCAAACCATCTTATTGCAACCTTCGGTCCGTGATATTGCCATTTTGCAAGATGGGCATTGCTTGGCATCGCGAAGTATTTCCTTGACACTCATAAGCTCATTTATCATCTCACGTTCCTTTCGTCTTTGATCACTACTTAACTGAGATGAACTTTGACGCTCCTGCAGCATTAAGAATAACACGTTAACGAGGTTAAAAAATGTGAGAGGTCGAGTTCTAACGATAAATGCTAATATCCCCACAAAAAGGAAAAATGCTCATGGATTGGTGAACTGGGTACTTAGCTAACCTCAAGAAGACGAAGCTTCATTTCTGGAGTCATACATTCAATTCCAACATGACGTCTCTCGCTACAGAGTGTACAAAAACTAAAGTAACACTTCGAGCATTGAGCATCATGATCTACGTCCTCGAGGCAGGGGGTTTCACACCTTGGGCAATAGACTACATCGGACATTGACTCCAGTGTTTTCGTGAGCAACATGGATTCCCATCTTTCAAACTCCTCAGCACCAAGCAATTGCTTCAAAAGACCAGGAGGAAGCATAAGATCGCATTTGGCATCTGGACATTTGAGTTTGCTAACGGTGCCTTCCTTGACATGCATGTTTGAGTATGTCTCCATGCATTTCCAACAAAAGTAATGCTTACATGGAAATCTTACAAACTTTGTACCTGATTATGCACAACCAACAAACAAAGCAGCTGGAGTTAAAAGTTCCCATTCGACAGTTCGATTTCTACACACAGACTGAAAGAGAGCAAAATTCATGGGAATCCCAAAATTCAGCAATTACACAACACTCTAGACGTATTAAAGGTCAGGCTACCATGACTACAAAAGATCTTTGTCAACTTGCAGCAGCTAAGTTCATGGTTCGTGGTTCCATTTAATAGGTTTTAAGAAGTATAATAGTTTTCTTTGAAGTTTGAAGCGAGTGGTTCTATTCCACAAGGATATCAGATTAGAACTTTTTCCCCATTTATATCTCCAATATCAAAACATCTCTTAGGGTGATTCAACCCGGAACAAAGAGAACCTTTTAGTTAATGCAGATAATTAGTGATTATGTAACAAAAGTTGACACCTATATGCGGAGTCGAACAAGAATTCATAATAAACAGGCCGAGTAATTTTCTGTACATAACGAGGCAGATATTGCTGTTCTGACTAACAAAGGAACCTCTTCTTAGAGTAGGATAGTCAGTCAAATTGTGTACAGATAATTTGTCTTCTCTAGCGTCGGGAGGGGAAGGGCAAAGCTAGTTAACCGACACCATTTCCCAAAAACTTGCCTATTATGCTATAAAGCAATCGGTAATTAGATGCTTGAACTTAATTACTATGTCATAAGTGATTGTTATTAAAACTATTCTCGCTAATGCATACAAGCAAAAGTAGAACTTAGGACGAGTCAGTAGGCTGTAAATTGAATAATAGCAACTTATCATGAGCCAATTATTGAGCTTACCTGCAAACTGACTTAAACAGATGCAGCATTCCTGCAAGTTCATGCAGAAGTCCTCCTCACGTCTCTGATTGTCATAATTTACAATGGCAGGAACATCAACTTCTGGAGAAACACTTCCCGAAACTGCTCGAATATCTCCCGAATGTCCCTTGTTGTAAGGACCAAGCGTAATCTCTTTATCTATCTCAAGATAAACCAGAGATGACGT